ATAAAAACATTGCAAATGTTTAATTAATAGCCTACTTTGGGGTTGTTATAAAATGGTAGTTCACGAAGCCTTGCTCAGATGAACAGTTAGCCGGATCAGAAAGAAACTCTATGAGCTCAAGTTCTATCTACAACAGGTAAGATGTTAACTGTGCACCTTCTTTCCGCAGAACCTCACTTCAAATTGTTTTTAATAAATTGTGTATTTTGCTGCGCATCCATTTTTAGACAGTCCCACCTGCTCAGCTGGTGGTCCAAACCTTCTGTAAAACTCGGTACCATACCATCTCATGAAGATGCATTTCCCCCCCTACACACGCACGCGCGCGCGCGCAGGCCAAGGCCGCCCGCTCCTCGCTCACCTGAGGCAGCGCGGCGTTGATCTGCCGCTGGAGCATGTCCCTCTCGTGGAGCGCCCCCTGCAGCTTAGCCTGGCACTGGATGAGGGTCTCCTGCGTCTCCCTGAGGGACTCCAGCAGCTTGTCCCTCTCGTCCAGCATGTTGACCATGAGCTGCTCGAAGTTGGCCTCCTGCTCCGAGCCGTTCGGGACTCCGCCGGTGCCTCTCGGAGGACCGGCCGAGTCTCCCTCACTGATGGTCGGCATCACCTCGCACATCATCTTCCCCGCGACGCTACGGGACACGCACTGCCGCTGTCCCGGGCGGGGGCCGGGGGGTGGGTGGGGGGGACTTTGGACACGGGGGCCTGATAAATAAGCCTGAAATCACTGATTGGAGGGGCCTAATTAACGCCTCTGGGCCAAAGCGCCGAAGCCAATCGAAGATGCGCACCTCCTGGCCGGAACGCAGCACATTTCTCACGCATCAAATGTGCGTCCGCGAGCGTCCTCCCATAGCTTCTCAGAGGGATGGAGACGGGGATGCGACGACGAGTGACCTTTTCTCCATATTAGCGGGTTTGTTCCGTGAGCAGATCCGCCCTGCCCGGCGCGCCATGCGCTCACATGGACGACTCCCGGCGTGAAAATGATTGACAGCTCAGGGATAAATGGAAGGGGTGGTGCCCGCGCGCGCGACGAGTAGCATGGATGCTAAAGGATGTAAAGGCACGAATATGATGCAATTATTAATAATAATAAAAGCAAAGAAAAAAATGATCCGGGAGGTAATCCTTAGTGATGGCGAGAGCGAATCTTCTCTGCATCCGCCTTCTCAGCTTCCATCCCTACACACACACACACACGCACACGCACACGCACACGCACACACACACACTACACAAGGGAATCTGCAGTTGTCACTATAGCTCCCCAAATGAGAAAATAGCTCCCTATAAACGTCCAGAATCAACGACTGGACTGAAATTAATGGTCACGTGTCATCTAAAACACAACATAGGCTACTTATAAAATTATATATATATAAAATTACAGGTTACCCCTAACTAAAGCCTTACATATTTAAATATATTTAAACATTTTCACTCATCAGTTGATTTGGACCATTACTGCAAGGTTTGAGCTGGCAGCTCATCAGCAGGTGGTGTATTCTGGCCCTGCAGCGCCCCCTGCTGGACACTTAACAACAAACAACTGAACTATCTATCTATCTATCTATCTATCTATCTATCTATCTATCTATCTA